GGCCCGTCTCTTCATGAAGATGACCAACCTCTATAATTGCCACAGCAGTGTCTTGTACATGTTTTACCCTTTTTTTTTTTTTTAATGCCATGCCTTTTTATGCTGCAGCAACATTTTTAAATTTTGTACAATATCTTGCCTTTTTATGCTGCAACACATTATTTTATTTTGTACAATGCCATGGCTTTTTTATAATTCAATAAAGTACTTCTCATCTTATCTCTTGTTGATAAATGCATCGTCTGATTTCCTGCCATAATCTGATTAACCAACTGATTTTAGGGACCATGTAAACAAAGTCACTGGGTTGCCACTCACACACACTTTTGTCATCCAATGATAAACAGAAATGAAATGTACACGTTTCATTAAAGGCCTTTAAATCAGCAGAACAAAATCACTGATAATTGTGTCTTAGTCCAACCTTTAAAAAAAAAATGCACATATGCACATAACTTTGAGGCTGAAGTTATAGGCCTATATTTGTTCTAAATAATAATAAAAATAGGCTACTAATAACATTTGGGGATCTAACATTGTACATGAATTTATAAAGCAATAAGAAACACCAGTTAGGAAAAAGGGCATAAGATAAAAAGGGAATTTGAAGAATAGATTTAAAGCAAGAAATAGTTTGCTAGCTTGAGGTCCTCCTCTAAAACATTGTTTGGTAACTGACACATTAAAGTCGAAAACTACCTTTTATAAATAAACTGGAAGGGGGTATTTCGAAAAAAAAACGGAAAGAGGATGATAAGACATCATTTGTATTTGTTTAGTTTACTTGGATATTTGCTTAATTTAGAGATTTTCTTTTCAGGATCTGATATTTGCTCAACGGTTCTTATGGGGCAGTACTTACTGGTACTTGACATTCTAATATTTACTAAATAGTCAATTCTGATAACATTTTTTTGGTTTAAATCATTTGACAAACACATCTATGTGAAAGAGAAAAAAAGATTTATTTATGTTCAACACAATGTAGTAATAATAAACACAAAACAAAATGTCACTACCCTTAAATGGCCCACAATCTTTCAATTGCTATTCAGGTAGCGCATCAAACCCTCTCTTATGTCAGTGCCCCCCTCCTCTGCACCTTGTGCCACTGCCACCCCAGGCTCTGCTGCTGCTGCTGGTGCATCCCATTCATCATCGTAGGCCTCTCCATGAGTCTCGCAGAGGTTATGCAGAGCACAGCATGTCAGCACCATAGATTTCACAAGGTTCACATCACAGTCATTCCTTTTCATGAGGCAACGCCACCTTCCCTTCAGTCTACCAAATGCGTTTTCGACCACTACCCGTGCTCTGCAAATGCCCTTGTTGTAGATCACATGTTCTGCTGTCAGCTGTCTATTGTCAGGGAACGTTTTCATGAGCCAGTTTTGTAAGGGATAGGCATTGTCTCCCAGGATGTAGTAGCCAGCATTAACCCCACCAATGTTCCTGGTGCAAGCTGGAAAGTAGTTGCCACGACTGGCCAACTCCCACAATGAGGACAGCCTCAAAACCCGAGCATCATGCATGCTCCCAGGCATTCCTGCAAACACATTCCAGAAATGTCCCCTACCATCAACAACTCCTTGAAGGATGATGGAGTGCCAGCCTTTACGGTTAAAATAGTCACAGTGGTATTCCTGTGGTGCCAAGATGGGTATGTGTGATCCATCAATAGCACCTACACACTGTGGGAGCCCCCACCTCGTCTCAGTGTAGTCGGCCATTTCTGCAAACTTCTCCCGGTCTGGTGAACGAATTAGTTCCGGCACTAACAAAGTCTCTGCAGCAGCACAGAAGTCTTGCACACACCGGCACACAGTTGTGTTGCTCACCCCGAAAAGATGCCCAATGCTTCGGTACTCTGAGCCGGTCGCAAGCTTCCACAGTGCGATGGCCACCCTCTTCTCTAGAGGTATACACTTGCGGAATGATGTGTCCTGTCTCTCCATCGCTGGCCGCAGTTTGTTGCACAGGTAGGTGTATGTGTCCTCAGACATCCTAAAGTTTTCCACCCACTGAGTGTGTGTGAAAGACGGAACAATCACACCCCACCACTCGGTAGCTCGGTCGAGCATCCAAACACATGGTCTGCGGCGGCGACCTAACGTCTGAAATACACAAACAAAAGCATACATATTTTAATACGTAAAAGTGGTAGCTACAATTAATTAAATACTTGGAACACTTTGGTCGTATAGTGAGCGTGAAACACATTGCTAGTTAGCGAACGTTAGCTTACCGAGTAGCGTTGAGTCGTGCCGGAGTAGTCTCTGCTGCTTTCTGCGATTGCCATAAGTCTCCCATGAGCTTCTTCTCTCTTACGTCTTGCTATAAGCCGCCTTTTTCGAAACAAAGTCTTCCTTCTTGCTGTGATAAAACACCACAGACACAGAAACAACTTAACGATGGTATCCACATCCTCCATTGTTGCGTGTTGTGTCGCATTGAAGATGACGTCACGGCAGTTGTATGCAGCGTCGCTCCGCCTACACTGCGTTACTATAGTAACTGCCCCAGTTCCTAAACTGTAATGGAAGCGCAGCATGAAGTGAGTCGGCCCTGTTAAGGCCCAACGTGGCCAAGCCGTACCGAGCCGTACCGAGTGTGGCCGAGGCCGACCGTGTAGTGGAAATGCGCCATTACAGTCCCGGCATATGTACTACAGCGTTTCCAGCGGTCTCGTTTGAACAGACACGTTAAATGAAACGAATGCATGTGAACGGAAGACTTTTTTGAATACGCATACTGTGCATAAACGCAAACGTTCCCGTGTGAAGGAGGCCTCAGTCACTAAGCCCTCTCTCCGCGGATGCGGCGGGCCAGCTGGATGTCCTTGGGCATGATGGTGACCCTCTTGGCGTGGATGGCGCACAGGTTGGTGTCCTCGAACAGGCCGACCAGGTAGGCCTCGCTGGACTCCTGCAGAGCCATGACGGCGGAGCTCTGGAAGCGAAGGTCGGTCTTGAAGTCCTGAGCGATCTCCCTCACCAGGCGCTGGAAAGGCAGCTTGCGGATCAGCAGCTCGGTGGACTTCTGGTAGCGGCGGATCTCCCTCAGAGCCACGGTACCGGGCCTGTAACGGTGAGGTTTCTTCACGCCGCCGGTGGCCGGGGCGCTCTTACCAAGCCCCCAGGAAGTGCGCCGGACTCTGATGAAAATATTCGTGCTGGCCAAACGGCGGTACTACACTTCCTTTTGGTTGCCAGGCCCGGAAACACTTTTTCCCATTGACTTACATGGGGAAAGAGTGGTCTGTAAATCGTTGGATAATTTTTTTTAAACTAAATAAACTACCCAGTATGAACACTTGTATAGCCCTTATTAAAAACATTCGTTCCTCAAGTTGTAAAATGTGCTAATAACGTTATTCTGAGAGTTATTTCCCTCTGCATTATGAACGCGCATCTAACCCACGGGACCGCGCCGCCCGGCACGTTCATGTTACGTGTTCAGCACTACATGCGTTTATCTTTACCCATGGATGCACAATAAGAACGGACCCATATCGCCTTACTGCCAGCCCACAGAGCTGTAATAATGGATATATTGCACATGTTTGCTGTAATTCATCATTTGTAAAATATTATACTACATGGGCTGTATGATTAAATCTTGTACCGTAAATGTTGTATTAAATAAAGTTAATATTACCGACGTAGATTAACGTCCCTGTAGCTTCTTATTGCACTAAGAAGCTTATTGCACTGTGTATATATATATATATACACAGCAATAATTCTTTCCTGCTAAATGAAGCTCTGTTGCTTGGATATCACTAGATCCTGTTACAGCGTAATATAAAAGTACATAACGATTGATGTGTAAATTAGCATAATTACTAGCTAACCGCTAGCTGCTAACTGCCGCCTCGTTAATATCAAATCTATCATAACAAACATTACCATGCTGTCATGAACGTGCGGTGCTGTTACGTGTACGCAAATTGACGTGCTTGATGTGAACGAGCATTTTGGGGGGCATGGTTAAAGTTGCGCATGCGCTATGAGCGCACATACGGGTACTTCTCAGGCATGCCGGGTAATCTGTGACGTTTCGCTCTCTCAAAAGTTGGGCCATTTTATCATCATGCGCGAATGAGCAACTCTCATAGGAATTAATGAGGCCCCGCCTCCCACGCTGTATCCAGTTCTTATTATACATCCATGGCTCTTACGGGCAGCCTTGGTGGCCAGCTGCTTCCTGGGAGCCTTTCCTCCGGTGGATTTACGGGCGGTCTGCTTGGTTCTGGCCATTGTAGTTTCTCAGTGTTCACAGCGAGAGGAGGAATGCTGTGTGTCTGTGAGCAGCGGATTTATGAAGGAGCTGCCGGAGCAGGCCGGGAGACACGTGCGCTGTAGCTGCTTTACTATTGGACAAAGTAAACCACTCCTCCACAGGGGATGATCCGGGGACTCTCGAAAATAAACGTTTGTTTTGTTTATGATTTTGTATAATAAAACCTTAGGTTTGTTTAGTTGAGCTGAGCAAAAATGAATTGTCCCTTTCTAAAGTATAACTATGATTCAATTTTTGTGAAAAAAATTGAGAATTTAGTCAACTCCCAAACGTTAAATATGAGAATTAACATTTGGGATCCAAAAATAAATCATTAATTGATCATGTAGTGTTGCAGAAACAGTCTTTAAATTGCACCACCTTTCAGTGTGAATGCAAGACATTAATCATGGACTTCTGCAGTAAAATTAGAACCCTTTATAAAAGTATGAGTTTATTTGTATTATTTATTTAAAACATGCAAAGCATTGTGTTTTTGACATTACTAAACGGTGAAGTGTTCTCTTCTTAAACACAATCACTTATTACATATTACCTGTATCAATCATTCAGAGTGAATGCTTTAAATGTCAGCAATAAACACAATTTGAATTGTTGCTTGAGTTCTTAGAGTTTGTGGTGGCAGAGGCACGACATGTAATATAAATGTGTCCATTTACTATCGCTAAGTATAACAGGATAAGCTCTTTGGATGGGTTTGGTGGCTCTTAAAAGAGCCGTTGTTTGCGGTGTGTCGGGTTTACTTGGAGCTCGTGTACTTGGTCACGGCCTTGGTGCCCTCAGACACGGCGTGCTTGGCCAGCTCTCCGGGGAGCAGCAGGCGGACGGCGGTCTGGATCTCCCTGGAGGTGATGGTGCGGCGCTTGTTGTAGTGAGCCAGACGGGAGGCCTCCCCGGCGATGCGCTCAAAGATGTCGCTCACGAAACAGTTCATGATGCCCATGGCCTTGGAGGAGATACCGGTGTCGGGGTGCACCTGCTTCATCACTTTGTACACGTAGATGGCGTAGCTCTCCTTCCTGGACTTTCTCCTCTTCTTGCCGGTCTTGCTGGCGGTCTTAGCGACGGCTTTCTTGGAGCCCTTCTTGGCCGCTTTCACAGGGGGTGCGTCTGCAGGCATGATTACGGGTCGAGGTCTGATAGAGCTATTGACTGCGCCGGGCAGAGCGGTATATTTATAGCCACCCTATGCAAATACAACTGCGTTGTTGCTCGCATCGGATTGGTCGTTTCCCAAGGTGGATGTAGCGTATTCTGAGGTGGACTGAGCATGCGCAAAAAAGACTGCTGGGAGCAGTTTTCTTCCAAGTTATATAGCTTACCAACTTGACTTAACACAGACTAATGCAAAGTTTCTTCTTCCCACCAGGCCAACAGGCACCCAAAACATATATATTGTAGTGACCACTATTTAACTAGGGTACATAATTCACGCATGGAACTACAGGTTGGGGGTATTGTTTCCGCCCGGACATATATGTTGACGGTACCTCCGGAGTACCTACAGTGTGGGTGTTTCTCAATCGCGAGTAAAGCTGCTTCAGAGCCACTATTTCAAGCATACTACGTCATCGAGTGCCGCCGAAGTACTGTTCCAATCTCCAGCATACTTGGAAATCTACCGAGCCCGGCGTACTCCGTTTGGAGAAATATCGAGGCTGCACATGAGTAGACTCCGCGGTCTTAAAATCCCCACAATGCTTTGCGCACGGACCAATTTCCCCAAATCTGTGGCGGAAGATGTAAGGCGGGGCCTCTCATATGACGCACACCTGCACACTTGCTAGCGTGTTCCACACTTCGTTTTCCGAATGCCAGGAAGTATTCTTGACTCGCTTCTGAAGCAAGATGCTCGGCAGACATGTGCTACCAAGCAAGCGTACTCGCGATTGAGAAACACCCTGTGTGTGTCCCTTTCACTTTCTCTTACTCTTCTCGGCTCGACCTGACAGCATGTCGATTTCTGCTCCTCAATAAAGCCAGATTTGTACCTCCGATCCACCGCCTCCCTTCTCTCGGCACTACAATATGTTATAAAAGCCAATTAATAATTCCAGAGTTTAAGTGAAGTAAAAATGATGTTGTCATTAGCCCGCAGGTTATACACAGGCTTGATGCACAATTAAAGACAACGTTTCTGTGTTCATGCCAACACCCACGTAGTTGACGTGAAGTGTGAAAATAAATGGATTGCGTTTCAGACAACCAATAATGATGCTGTGAGAAATAATTTCCTGACTATTGAAATACATTTGGACTTTGTAATTCATGGTATTTACTTTAGGGCTTTCCCAAGTGTTCAAAGCGCCTTACATTACATATTAGACATTAATCCATTGATTACTGTGGACACTACCCACAGGAAACACACACACTGTCTGAATCCACCATGGTATCTGATATATTGAATTAAAATATTCATCTTGGGTAACATAAGGAATGATGAAAAAAAAGATGAAATGTTAAATACTTATTTGTAAGTTAGTCCCGTTTTAGAGAAATTAATTTTTTTTAAAGTGTACCTCTCTTCAAGTGTTTTATTATATTTGACTCAAACATGAGTGATCTTAAAAGACGCATAGTAAAAGGAAACTCTTTATGTAAATTGGGTGGCTCTTAAAAGAGCCTTTGGTTGGTCGATCTGACAGCTGCTTATCCCCCGAAGCCGTACAGGGTGCGGCCCTGCCTCTTCAGAGCGTACACCACATCCATGGCGGTCACCGTCTTTCTCTTGGCGTGCTCGGTGTAGGTGACGGCATCACGGATCACGTTCTCCAGGAACACCTTCAGCACACCGCGGGTCTCCTCGTAGATCAGACCGGAGATACGCTTCACTCCGCCGCGGCGAGCCAGACGGCGGATGGCGGGCTTGGTGATGCCCTGGATGTTATCACGGAGCACTTTGCGGTGACGCTTAGCGCCTCCTTTGCCGAGTCCCTTTCCTCCTTTTCCTCGTCCACTCATTTTGGAGTCTTGGTAGATCGGGTTGTTCAAAACGAATGAGTGGAAGCAGTCTGACCGGCAGTATTTCAATATTCACTGCGGACCTAAGAGAAGACGGACAGCGGGAAGGCTGCTAGGCGGGGCCAACGCTGCAGCCTCCACATCATCTTCCAGCACATTTTGTTTCTTTTAAATATTGTTTATCCAATTCGCGCAGGCTTTATACTAAAGGTTTGATGATTAAAGGTTCCTTAATATGTCATAAAACCCCCGAATAACATTTATAATTGAAAAAAAAACAAGAGACAGAAAATATATAATGTTTAAATACTGTATAGCCCATACAGTTAATGCTTTTGACATGTCAATAGTTGTACACGCTATACACAGACCCTGAGTTAAGTTGTGCTGCCATGGCAACAATGATGACATTAATAATCAAGAAATGTACCACATATTTAATGATACATTTAATATGCTAAGTAACAGACACATAAGCATAACACTGCTTCCATTCATATATTAATACTCTATATATTTGAGCTCTGACAAGCTTGGTAAATTAATTGCAATTTCGTTTCAGCAATGGAAACATTCTTGTTTTGTTGATAGTGATTTTTGACACATTGTATTGACAGCATAAATAATAGATATACGGTATATTTATTCTGCAGCTCAGAAAGTCAGATCCGACGGAAACTGTATAAAAATATAAGATTTGTCTCACATAAGAGTTAATTACTTAACTAGGGGGATCTAAATCAAACTAGACATGAATTATTCGTTAAATACACAAGTGACATAACAGATGAAGAGGTAACCTGTGTGCAATGAAGCGTCTCATGACATCTGTATAAATACACCTGTTGTAGAAGGATGGAGCAAGTAGGAGCCAAGGTCCCTCCAGTGCTATTTAACTGCATGACAATAGTATCAAATATAAAGTTCTGTCTCTCCATATACACCTTTAATTCTGGAAATACTGTGCTACACGTGTTATTTTCATATACTGTTACACTGATCACACACACTGGGTCAACTTGTACAGGGGTTTGAAGTAGTTATGAACCCAATAGGTTTAAAGTATTCTCATAATAGCGGACCTGAATTAGTAAATGTTTTGAAGCTCTATGGAAACGGCAACGATAGTTGAATGAAACTGTCCAAACTATAATAGAGGCACAGGTTTGATGAAGGAAAGCTCTCTGGACAGAAGTGTGTGGCTCTTAAAAGAGCCGTTGTTTGATGAAGCGGGTTCAGGGTCTTCACTTCTTGGAGGCCTTCTCGGTCTTCTTGGGCAGCAGCACAGCCTGGATGTTGGGCAGCACGCCTCCCTGAGCGATAGTCACTCCTCCCAGCAGCTTGTTCAGCTCCTCGTCGTTGCGGACGGCGAGCTGCAGGTGGCGGGGGATGATACGGGACTTCTTGTTGTCCCGGGCGGCGTTTCCAGCCAGCTCCAGGATCTCAGCGGTCAGGTACTCCAGCACAGCGGCCAGGTACACCGGGGCTCCGGCACCGACACGGTGGGCGTAGTTACCCTTCCTCAGATGCCTGTGGACACGGCCGACTGGGAACTGGAGCCCGGCCCGGGAGGAGCGGGTCTTAGCCTTGGCTCGGGCCTTTCCTCCGGTCTTCCCTCTTCCTGACATAACTGATTTCTCGGGTTTACAACGAAGTGTGACTCTCTGCTCTCCACAGCGGCTCTTTATATCCACCAGCTGCTCTCTGATTGGCCATCAGTGGGGGTATCGACGATCGTCCAATCAGAAGGGAGCTCACGTAAAGAGGTCTTTTTCCAGTTGCTACTAAAAGAAAGACACTAAACCTGGAGCCATTCGAGTAAATGCAATGAATATATTTATCATATCTGTCAGATGACCACAGTGTTAACAATGTAGACCTATTTATTTATTGTTCATCATATTACAATGTGTCGCTAACAGGCTACAGATGCAGGCAGCAAGTAAAGAGAAAGCGAAAAAGATGAAGTTATACAATGAAATAATATCAGCACATGATAAAACCCAAAGTAATTCTAACAGTGAAGTGCTATTAAACCCAGGTCTCAATATGTTATTACTTTATTGTATTCAAATGACAAATACATTTAATAAATCATATTAAGCTGTCTGTGGCTCTTTCCTGCTGTAACGATGCAAATTTCCCCTCTGTGGGACTAATACAGGTATTCTGATTCTGATCATATTGTTTCTAGTTTTAAATCACTGCTATCACCTGAGCAGATCTAATGGACCTAAAGGCAGCTTTATTCTTTGTTGATAAAAGGCTTATTGATTTTCGAACAGAACAGTATAGCTTAGTCTTCTTGTTAAGATACTGTGTATTTAGAAACACTGCTTGTATAAAGTGCGTCTTCTCCGAATGAAATCAAAACACGAGTCAGTGAATGATGGAGATAATCAGAATGAAAGATGGAAGAAACATATTAATACCACACTGTACTAGACTAGAAGTAAAAGCTGTGCAGTAAACATGTTCCTTCAAGTGTTCACATTATCATGAAAAGGTGGATAAGGATGTCACAGACTGAGTGTTATATCATTATATATAATATCACTTATTAGTACTACTTGTACTACATGTAAGAGCAGGATGTTATGAAACTGTTTACTTCTGATTCATTCTTGTTTAATTGATTTGTTACCTCTTGAAAATCTCTTTCCACATTGTTGTGCGATACATTCCTCGTTGAGATTATTACTGATACTGCCTGCTTCTTAGTTATTCCATCTTTGGCTGGTACAAGAATATGTATCTAACTCTATGTTTACTTGTTATCTCCCACACTTCCTTCTACATGTTACACTCATTTCATAAAGAAGGAGATAGGGAAGGGGTTAGTGGTGGTCTAATGGATAGTGAGGTGGGCTGAAGGTTGGAAAGGTTGTGAGTTCAAATCCCGCCAGGAACACCACCACTAGTGTGCCCTTGAGTAAGGCACTTAGTCCTTAGTTACTCCGGGGAGAATGTCCCTGTAATTGGTAATTGTAAGTCGCTTTGGCGTCAGCTAAGATAAAATGGACCTTTATTCATCCCTGTGTGGAGCAGAAACAGAGTGAGAGTGAAACACAGGACAGCACAGATTCACAAGGATAGAAAATGATACACAAATAAAATAATATAGTAACTGTTAAGATATTTACATATTTGGGTTTGGATTGTTAGATATATTTACATGTAAGT